TTGCCAGATCGAGCCCGCCGGTCACCCATTTGCTTTTTGCGGATGATAGCCTCTTCTTTTGCAAGGCTACCAAGGAGGAATGTCAGATGATTCTCAACATACTTAGTCAGTATGAGCGAGTATATGGACAACAAATTAACTTTGATAAATCGTCCATACAATTTGGTCATAAGATCCCTGATTCGGTTCAAAGCGAGCTTAAACAGCTTGGCGCCAGTCTTCTTCATCAGGCCACATTGCATCAATATGGATCAAATAATCCATAATGCTGTTCGGGCGTCAAGTGGGAATTCTTTCAAGTAAGTTCACTTACCGCTTCCACTGTTTAACTCAACACCAGCACCTGGAGGAACCCCTGACTTGTCTGGAAATAACAAATATTGGCGGAATGGGCTACTATCTTGGGCTCCCGGAGAGTCTTGGAGGAGCAAAGACTAAAATCTTTAATTATGTGGTGGAGAGACAACAAGATAAGGTAAATGGCTGGAGTTCGAGATTATTATCAAAAGGTGGAAAAGAAGTTCTAATTAAATCAGTAGCATCGGCAATGCCCACTTTTGTTATGTCATGTTTCCGGCTACCAAAATCTATAACCACAAAACTAACTAGTACAGTGTCCCGTTACTGGTGGTCCTCAAAGGGGCAGCACAAAGGTATGCACAGGTTGGCATGGCAAAAATGTGTAGATCTAAATCAGAAGGAGGAATGGGTTTTCGCAATGTGGTGGATGTAAATACGGCATTATTTGCAAAACAAATGTGAAGACTAATAGACAAACCACAATCTTTGTTCGCACGAATCTTTAAAGGACGATACTTTCGGAAATCGGATTCATTGGATCCTATCAAATCGTATTCCCCATCATATGGATGGCGTAGCATTATATCAGCGAGACCTCTAGTTATAAAAGGACTAATTAAAAGAGTTGGTTCAGGCACTTCCATTTCAGTATGGAATGACCCTTGGATACCTACTTCTCGCCCGAGGTCTGCTATTTGTAAAGGGTTATAATTATTACCCAAACTTAAAGGTTAATCATTTGATTGACCGTCTTCAAACACATGGAATATAGGCTTAATAAATGCTATCATTGATCCAGCGGATGTTAAATTAATTTGTAGTATGCCTATAAGTGGTACGTATAAACCGGACTCCATAGGCTGGCATTTTACAAAATCAGGATGATATACAGTTAAATCTGGTTACCAGGTCGAACAAAAATTTGCACAGAAAGACAGAGGTGTTTTACGGACCGGACATAAAAAAATTACAAGTCCAGGCATGGCACTTGAGTTGTCCACCGAAACTCAGACATTTCGTTTGGCAGGCTATTTCCGGTTGTTTGCCTATGGCTATGAATTTAAAAAAACGAGGTATTCAGTGTGATACACAGTGTACGCGGTGTGGAGCAGAGGAGAAAACGATTAATCATGCACATTTTGAATGTCCTATGGCATTACAAGTCTGGGCCCTATCCCAGGTACCTACCCCATCAGGAGGATTTCCAACAACATTAGTTTACTCAAATTTTGACTACCTTTTTTGGCGACTTCCAAAGGAGAATCAAAATTCACAGTTCCCATGGATAATGTGGTATATTTGGAAAGCACGAATTGAGAAGGTATATTCAAATATAGATAAAGATCCACAAGTTACATTAAAGATTGCGGAAATAGAAACGGAATTATGGGAAGAGGCACAACGGGGAACTTTGACTCGGACAATTCAAATTATAGATATACCCACATTACCAACACAATATACAGGTTGGTGGTGTTATATAGATGGGTCTTGGAAAGAGACGAAAAAAGCCTCAGGGCTAGGTTGGCTTTATTTCAAAGACGACATGGAAGGACAAATAATAGGAGCAAGGAAATTCCGGCGAAGCTTAACCGCACTACACGCGGAATTAGAAGCTCTCATCTGGGACATGTTGTGTATGCTTGCGAACCAAAAGATGGAAGTAGCTTTCGCGACAGACTGTTCTGAATTGGTGAAGATGGTGTGACACCTGAGGAATGACCAGCATTTGACTTACACCTGGAGGAGTTTGTGAAGAGTAAGGAGGCTTTCAACTTTTTTCGATTTCACATATCCCACGAGCGAAGAACATGAAGGCGGACAACCTAGCACGGAGTGCTCGGATCTACCCTCATGATATCAATTATGTAAACTCGGTACCTCCGGTTTGGATTACTGAACCTATCTAGGTATCTAGGCTGTTGACAAAAAAAAAATATTGAAATCATAAAATATTTAGTTGTAATCTTAAGAATTGTCAAATTTGTGCCAAATATGCTCAACTAAATCATCTTTTAATTGATGTCTTTGTCGGTCACAAACTTGATTTCGAACGCCGATCATATTCCCAAGATTTGTAGGCATATATGTAAAATATGTCATATCCACATGTGAAGTTATGTTTCCTTCTCCTTGTTCGAATTCTGATACATGTGAAGTGTATCCATCTCGTTTGTTTTCTACTATCATATTGTGTAATTTGATACATACTCTCATAATCTTTCCTATTTTTTCCTTTATCCCAAATAAGAGCTGGGTTTTTTTTTACAATTGCAAATCGAGCCTGCAAGACTCTAAAAGCACGCTGAACATCTTTTCGAGTGGATTCTCGACATGTAGCAAATAATGATGCTTTCAGACCTTGAGGAATTAGAATAGATTGGATAAAAGTTGCCCATTTCAGATAAATACCATATGTGAGGTAGTACACCAAATGATACTCGTGTCCGTTGAACAAGTAATTAACATTTGAAGCTCGACTTTGTAATATATCATAAAAAATAGGTGAGCGATCAAGAACATTGATATCGTTTAATGTATCTTGAGGTCCAAAAAATGCATGCCATATCCAAAGTTCCTGTGATGCTACAGCTTTTAAGGCAATAGTTGGTTTTCCTAAGCCACATGTATATTGCCCTTTCCAAACGGTATAAAAATTTTTCTACTCCCAATGCATACAATCGATGCTTCCTATCACACCCCGGGAAAACCACATATCTCACCAATATCGAGTAGTCGTTGAAGATCTTCTGGTGTGGATCTTCTTAAGTACTCATGTCCGTACAAATTTATTATTCCTTCGGAGAAATTTTCCAAGCATGAAATTGCAGTACTTTCACCGAGCTGGAGGTATTCGTCAACAGCGTCAGCCGCACAACCATTGCCATCATACGAATTGCTGTTGTACACTTTTGTAATCCAGATAGACCAAACATTCATGTAGCATTTCTTCTTTGTTGAAAGAATGGAATTTCATTGGAGAGTCGATCAACAATACGCATTAACAAGGGTTTGTTCATTCTAAAATTGTGCCGAAATATATTTGAATGGTACGCTGCATCGTGATTGAAATAGTCATTCCACAAGTGGATGTGGCCTTGTTCGCGTTCTCTTTCAATATATGCTCGTTTCTTCTTTGGATTTTCCTTTGTTGTTGCATGAAGATCAAGAACGGCATCGAACATATTGTCGAATTGTTGATCGAAAGCGTCATCAAAACTCTCATCAAGTGATCCGTCGAAAGCATTGCTTGAAGGTGATGCCATTTTTGTGTAAAGGGAAGGGAAGGGTTGGAATTTGGCAGAAAAATAATAAAAGAGAATAGTTGGAGTTTGGTAGAGAACCAAAGAGAAGATAAGGCTAAACGTTTTTGGATAGAGAAATAATAGATGTGAAGACTTGGATTTTGATAAAGAATTTATAAACAAATATATAGCACACAAATGATCGATTGTCTTTACAATACAAATGTTGTTTTTGTGGTTTAAAATTGTACACAATCTTCTCAATATTTAGTGGTTTACATTACAATAAAACAAAAACAAAAAGGGATCCTCCAAACATAAAGTAAAACCCGTGAAGTTTTTCACTCTGTCTTCACCTTCATTTCTGCCTCCACTTTGTCTTTGATGATCCAAACAATCTTCCTGAAAAAACAAAATTCAACAATATCAACAAGAAAATCAAAAACAAGTAAAAAAAGGTCATCCAAATAAAACAAAAACCAAAAGAAAACAAAGGCAAAAAAAAAAAAAAACAAAGGCCAAAAAAAAACAAAGGCAAAAAAAAAACAAAAGTAAAAAAAATGGGTCAATAAAAAAAGGTCGGCAAAAAAAATGGCCCAAACAGAAAAGGTCGGCCAAAAATGTATCAAATCCTCGACCAAAAACAAAATCCTCGACCAAAACTCATAAAAACATTGGCCAAAACCAAAATCTTCTACCAATACTGAAAAACCTCGACCAAAACATAAAACCCTCGACCAAAACTGAAAATCCTTGAACAAAACATAAAATCTTCAACCAAAACCATAAAATCCTCGACCAAAACTCATAATTCTCGACCAAGACGCATGAAATTTGCACAACAAGCATCTCATTCACATCTCATCAAAAACTCATATCAACAAGCATCACATTCATATTAAATCGCAAATTCATACAAAAGTATTTGATAAACAACTTAAAAGATTCAAGAGTTGTCAATAACAAAGTTCACTATATCTCATACAAAAACACAAAATATTTTACAACAAAATTTTTTATCAAGTTATAACACAAAAGACTACACGACCACTTATGACAACATGTCACTAATTAATTTGTTCTTAAGAGCCACTTCTATTTCAGTAAGTGGTTCTGTTTTTGCAAGGACACTCTCAAACATTTTAGTTATAGAAATCTTCTCTTTCATTTCCAAGTCCTTCTTCTTTATTTCCCACATACTCGAAAACTCCAACAAAGCCTTGCCTGCGTCTTTAGCGATTGTATGCATTCCACTCCTTGTAGCTTTAGAAACCTTAACACCAGGCGGTCTAGCCATTGAAACATCTTCTCCATGACTTTCTGCTTGGGAGTTTGAAGACTGAGCTGAAGTCTCCTCAACTTCTTTTTTTTAACACTTCCAGCATCTTTCACAGCAGGCGTTGAACACCATTTCTGGTCATGGCAAAACTCTCTCCATACATACTCAAGTGTGAACTAGACCAGATGATCATTGAAGAAGATCTCGTGAGCTGCTTTCATGAGATCATTATCATTTTGGCCGCTTGCTTTCTCCTTCTTTGCTGCTTCATAACATCCCAAAAAGTTGCAGACATGATCATTTATCCTGTTCCACTGTTGTTTACACTGTCTCCACTCTCTAGGTTGCTCACCAACCATCTGAGGACTCGAGTTCAAATAGGCTTGGATTCTTTTTAAAAATGCTCCAGCCTTTTGCTCATTGCCGACGACTGGATCTTTGCTGGTGTTTAGCCAAGCATTGATCAGGAATATATCTAATTTAAGACTCCACTTCCTCATTTCTTTGCGATCTTCAAAAGCTACACTTGGATCATCAGAACATTGGCTACTAAACTCAAAGAGTTCTGATGATCCAAGCTCTATAGTATGCGGGTAAATCTCATTAACTAGCTGACTAGTTAAGAGATTTACAAAGCTTGGAGAGTTAGGAGGATTTGGGTTCATGGAATCCATAGAAAGAGTGTTTAAGTTTTTTAGAAGAATAAGGATAAGGAAAAAAGATTTCAATGGTATATAGAAGGATAAGAGTTAATCGGTTTTAGAATGTTTTTAGAAAGTTATATAATCAGTTCGTTGAAGTGTTTGAAGTGTTTGAAGTGATTTAAGAAGGAGCGCTTAAGTGTTTTAAGTTTTTTAGTGCTATATATAATCAGTTATGTTCACTTAGTTGTTAGCAATCAATGAAAAGCATTGATCAGAAAGTGGCTTTAACTATTACCACAAATTAAAACACCTATCAAGCATTGATAACAAAGATTTGACACCTAACCAAACACCTAACAACCATTTATCATAAAAACTTTCTAACCGAGCATTACACCTAACTCTACAGCTAACTATGTGTGCTAACAAATAGTTATGAATATGATGTACCTTGCTTCAATGCTTTCAAGAAATCGGTTTAGCCTTGTATGACTCTCTATCGGTGTTTCTCCATTTTACCTAACAAAAAAATATATCAAATTCAATAGACTATGAAAACATACAAGAAAAACATATCAAATTCTTCAACCTAGAAGCAAAACATAATAGACTATTGAAAGAACACGAAAACAACAAAGCATTGATGAAAGAGATTGATAAAAACAACACAAGAAAATATCAAAGACATAACAGAGTAGTGAAGATGCATTACCTTGATTCATTGCGTAACATGAATCCATATGAGCTTCAGCCATCTCCAATGTCGTTTTATCTCCATTTACCCTCAGCAAAAAAACATTGACCCATCAAACTTAGCAAATCCCGTTGATAAACTTCGGAAATGCGATCAAATAACAAAAATCAAATTATCTATAACTAAAATTGCCTTCAATCATAGCTACACAACTAAGAAATAGATTATTATTGATACCAATCGTTCTAATCTCGATTATACCGAAAATGCCTAAATTTTTCTTCCAACAATAAACCCTAATTTCAAACTCGATATCACGAAATTGACAAAAAAATACAACAAAAAACTACATGGATTATTACCTTGACGACGAGATGATAGAATCCTTCATCAAAAACACCTGATTCGTCTTTAAACTCTCTAATATTCTTTTTTCTCGTCGTCGCCGTAAGAAGGAAATATCGTCGGCCAAAAATTAGAGCAAGGGAAAAAATGGTCGACCAATTTTGCTCGAGAGGAGAGAGGATGTCCCTAAAACTTAGCAAATCTCCATCTGCCACGTGCGCTTAAGGACTGCTCCTAAAAATCATTGTCTAAGGATCGATTCTATAGAAAAGCCCAATATTTCTTTAAAAAAAAACCAATTATACCTAAGAATCCGGGCCAAGAGACCTGTTGGAGATGGTCTTATTGCTCAACAAATAAATGTGAAAAAAAAAACTCAACACAAAATTCTTAAGAATTTCCAAACCAAAACGATTCACCTTCATGTCTTTTCTCTTTCTCGCATCTCATAATTATTTATGCCAACTTTCTATATTAATATCTCCTGTTATCACCTATATTGAGTTTTAAGGAACCCAACAGATGTGGAGCACTGATCGTAATGTTTTCCAAGTGAATCAATGTGTATTAAGATTTGAATCATTGGTCGCCAAATTTTCCACCATTGTACAGATCGAAAAAAGCGTCGGATCTCCAATACATGGTTTAGGCATTTTCCAATCAGTTCATCGTGCTGAATTCTTCGTCGAAGGTGAGATCAGAGTTGTTTTGATTGTGTACTCTCTCTATGTACAAATGATTTTCGGCGTTAAACTATTTTAAATCCACTTTTTGAATTTAGCAATTACATTTGCCTATGATGCTTAAGGTTTTGGATTCTTTTGAAAGAACTATGAACTATAACTGTAAACGTAAGCGCACAAAAAGGTTGAGGGGGAGAAAATAAAGAAGGGAGAATGATCGTATGAGGCTTCAGGAAGAATTATAGTAAGTTTGGAGCAACAATATTAAGGTTTATGATAATTTCAGCTGAGGTGTTGCGTGTATTATATACATTTTAATTTAATTCTTAATTACTCTTATTATTAAACTCAGCTAGAGTCAGAAAAGTTTAGGGTTTTTTTTTTTAAATCCAAATTAAAAAAATTAAAACTATCATATCATCGTTGATCCAAAATGGTTTGGGAAAGGCTCAACATGTTGTGCTGTTTCACCTCTAACTGAGCCACCTATTTTTCTTTGCATACTGTCACTGATTTTCTTTGCATAATGGGAAGCCAGACGAATGCAAACAAGGCAAATTAATTTGGAACTGTCCAAATGAAAGGCAAGCCACTACGTACGGTTAGTATTTTTTTATCAAAACTATCTGAGACTACTTTTCCTTTCTCTTATATGTGTTCTGAAAACTAATGGCTGTCTCAACTAGGAACTGTAATAATCCATGTCACTGTGTGCGAATAAACTTGTAGTTGCAATATCCTTGGCTTTGATATAGTACATCATTAATTACTTTGAATAAACAATTGGAGTATGAAGCAACATAATCTTGATTATATATAAGATAAGGCTGATCATGTCATTACAAAGTATATGATTCGGAACACTTGTAGCTAAGTCCAAGTTTGCAAATTTGATGTGAATAAGAACAAAAAAGGTGTCAATAATGTCAATTTAGAAGAAACATGGTTCTTACGTCGGAGATCCGATCCTAAATCTTCTTCCATTTCAAATTTGCAGCTTCCTTATCTCTCTAACACTGAATTCTTCGTATATCCTTGACTCCTTGTAGGATAGAATTCCCATGCTATCTATTGCCAATGTCCTTGAAATATCATTTATCAGTTCTTCTCGCTTTTGACTACGCTGGGAACAGGTGCATCCATCTTATAATATTTTGAATACATAAGCAAGCTGCGAATCGTAGCATCTCTTTATTTCTTTCAAAGTGGTAGCGTTTGCTTACTCATGTTTCTGGCTTCAGAGAAAGCGAACGATTATTTCACTAATTTCAGTATATGGTAAATATCGCCATCAAGCTGAAAATAAGTGTTCTGCTATTCAACACCTGCATGGGGAAACCGTGAGCTTTTTTGCAATAGTCTACGAACGAAAACTAAGGTGAATTTCTTGTTATGGATTTCCAGAAAGCTAATATCAAACTGAGGAGCTTTATTGTTGTTGTAAGTCAATTTTTGTCTGCAGCAAAGGACAAGGATATGCATACTGTTGTAAATATCACATACCGTTTTTTCTATGAGAGAGGAATCAAAGGTTGGCTTGGTAAGGACTATTTCAAGAGAAAAAAGAGTTGGTTAATCGATGTTAAAAATAGAAAGGTAAATATTCTAGCTTTTTAGTTTTGTGATCGTTAGAGCCAGGAAACAAAAACATGACTTTTTAGCATTTACCGGTACTATTAAAGACAAGTCTTTGATCTTTTACCTTTGCAGAAAATATTGAATATCTAGTACTGAAAGAGTATAATGGACAATCTGGCAACGACTACTCATGAAGCATGACTCCTAACTCTGTTTACTATACAAGATTTGGCTATATTTGGTTGGTTAATTTCTCTCTCATTTCACCAGAAATTCAGTATTTTAATACTTGTTATGAAGCTTAAATTACAAGAGGTACAACTGTAAAAAGAGAAAATCAACTCCTAATGAAAATGATTAAGGTATGTGTAACTATATTTCCAAACCTCCAGTAGTGCAACAATTGTTTCTGCACGTTATTAATTATTATCCATAAATCCAAATCATTTTCAGTGTTAACTGAATTATTTGTTATTTGAAACATATTTGGATATGTAATATCAAAAATTATATAAAACTAGAAATCCAAAAGAAACATATGTTATAAAATAACCCGCGTTTATGTGTGGATATTCATCTAATACTTTTTGTGACAATTTATTATATTTTATTTGAATATATATATATATATAAAAACAAAATTTGAAAAGTATATTTCTAATTTATAAATAATTAGACACAAGAAATTTATTTTTTGTAAACAGTACATATTAAAATTATGTATTCCAGATTATATATTTTTTCGGGTTAATTAGAACAATTTTTTAAAAAAATTTCAAATCGGATTGAATAAACAGATTAATTTTGGTCTGACATCTCTATCTATAATCCGTAGCTAACATATTATAAAATCAAGGTAAAACAATTTTTCTTAAATTTTAATATATTTTTAGTTAAAAAACTATCCCGCGCTAGCTATATATCGTGAGTTAAATCCTAGTTACAGTCTTAAATCAGTGGGAAAATGCAACTCTATATTGCGAGCCTAGTGTCCCTTTATATTTCTCAGGGTTTGATATCAGTAACTGCGAGCGTTGTTGCAATTTGCGATTGTCCGAAGTGTTGAAATTTAGTTGCTTTTTTCTCATCAATTTGCGATGCCAAGATGTTATGATAACTTTTGTGACTCAGCTGTAGTCATAAAAGCGCCTCATGTAATGGCAAAAACAATGTTTTTAAAAGTTTCATTAACTCTCAAGTCACAACTAATGTCTCGTGTATAGATTCTTTAAAATTTAAGGTAGTATCTTAACAAATCCTATTAAGATTACCCATCTTAAACTGAATCAATTTACTCCACAATAAACAATACTTCGACTATCATATTTAAATCTATAATTTGGAGTCAAATACCATTTTAAGTTTCATAAACGCTCCGTATTCAAAAACTAAGTAGCAATAATTAGATTGATCCATGTGTTTTATGATTTATTTTTATCCTTCATAATTTTTCATTTGGAATCCTAACAATAATCTATCAACCAATAAAATGCATGGAAGATATCAACATAGAGTTTAAACCATTTGGAGAATTTTTCTTGAACTATATGAATACATATAGGACTTTTAAGAAATTCAGAGGCAGTGATTATATTATAAACGCTAGAAACAAAGTCATTTCTGTTAGGCTAGTTGGCTTAAAGCTTTTTCACATGATGTGCTTGTATCCAACGAGTTTGTATACCCTCAGTTTAGCTAGGTTTATATATAGTGTGTGTGTAAATTTGTAATACAAATAATCTCGACGTTATCTATTGCACATGAGTCAATTTAATCTACAACTATAATCTACAAACACAAACACAAGGAGAAAACAACTTACAATAAAAAAATACGACCATTATTATCATTAAGAAAATAAAGATATGGTAGGAGTTTCAAGTCTATTAAACTCTACAAACTTGCTGCCAGATCATAGAGATGAGCATCACCCCGATGTATATATATGCGACAATTTGTGATAAATACAATATGGTTGCTTTTTTTTTATAACTTCTATCGGCTAATCTGATTAGTCTTGAGCGCATCGAAATGTTACAGAGTGGACTGATTACCCAGGTTCAAGGAACATCATGAGTTCTGAATCCACTCGGATCAACGGACCATAAGATCCATGAGATCCAGCCGGTTACCATACTGCCTATCCCAAGTTTGAAATATCTTCCGACTAATACTAAGAGTAGACTACAATGTAACCTGTCTACAGCTTAGGTCTAAGCCTAAACTTTCCACATAAATGTGTTTTGTTTTTAGGGGGGATTGAACCCGGGTGAAGTAGTGTAATATCCACACGTTCCTTTTTACCACTAGACCATAGTCATGCGGGCAATATGGTTGTTTTATAGATTACAATTCGTTTAATTTGATTTATAGTAAGTTGAGGGTAACTTGAATACGATATGATGGCTCTATCAAATCTTAACGTACATATGCTATAGGGACGTCAAAAGAAAATACTACTATAATTGGGGTGGCGTTTAAGACTTTATATCATGATTAGAATAACTTGTGAAGTCAATAATGAACAACCCTAGGTACTTATTGTCATAATATACAGACTTTATAAATACAAACTTTTTCATAGGGAGAAGAACCCAATACACACAAAAATCACATATATCGATACATTTATTCAAGAAAAGATGGCAAGCATATGCGAAGGTATTTATATATCTCTAGATATCAATAGATACGTACTTATCACCTAACCATCGTTATCATCGATTCAAAAGTGAAGTAATTTAGAAATTGTTGTTTCTACGCAAAATAAAATAAAAGTATGGCCATGGTATGAGCATTTGCTTGGTACGGTTTTCTGTTGGGATTATGAAAGTTACATTTAATAAAATCGGAATTAGTAATCAGGTTTTGGGTTTGTAAATAAAAGTCTAAGAGTGTGTAATTATTCATTCATATTGAAAGAAAGAAACCATAAAACAGATATTTACCTCTATTCGTTATTTCTCTTATTTTCGACTTTTGTCTAATTTGATTCGGCCTAAAATTTTAACAGATATGATCCTTAAGATATGACTAATCTTGAAGTTTTTATCCGATAATACTATATGTATGTTAAATCAATTACTAACAGATCCAGGAAAAAGCTCGTGGCCAGAACTAATGGGAACAAAAGGAAAATATGCGAAGGAAGTGATCGAAAGAGAGAATCCCAAAATGAAAGCTGACATCATTTTGGATGGAACTGCCGATCCTCATGAGATCTTTATTTGCTCTCGTGTTTATGTTATGGTCAACGATTGTGGAATTGTTGTTCAAATTCCAACCATTGGTTAATTTTAATCAGTTTCAATAAAATTTTTATGTAATAGAGCGTATATCACTGTATTACGGTGTATTGAAGTAATAATGAAGAAGTTGTTATGATATCAGTTGTGTCATGTTATGCTATGTCATAATTAAAATTGAAGATTTTGTCAACTTTGATTTAATATAATATTTTTTATTCATCACAATTTTGACATTTGTCGGAAACCTGGTACATCCCTAGATCCGAGCAAGTGTTTTAGAATTTCAAAGATGTCCGCTCTGATATCATATAAGGCTAAATTATATTCATTAGGTGAATAAATACAAAATATATAGAGATTACATAGAAGAGATTTTGGATTAGATATGTACTAATCTACCTTTTGCATAGTCTCTATATTATTATTTGAGTAGACATTTCATAAATGAACCTTTATTTGTAAGATATTACAGAATATTTTACCTAAATAAACATTTATTTATAAAATATTACATAAATAAACTTTTACTTAGAAAGCTCAATTAAATATATGGATATAAATCAAAAGTATATTTAGTTTCTTTACTTATTAAAATATTAAAATATATTCTATTATTTTAAATAATAATCAATCCATATATATGAGAAAATCAATTTAAACTTTTGCAATATTTTTTTGTATTTTCATTATTATTTAGTATCATTTTCGAAAATCAGTTCAATTATTTATATAAAAAAAAGAAATTATGTTTTCAAAATTTAAATTATTTTTTTTAACGGGTTGGCCAAAAAATAGTTTAGTAAATTGTGAAATATGTTAAGTAGACGGATTTTTCCATTTTGACAATCCTATATATAATCATTGTTAACACATATTATATAAGTTATTAACTAAAAATGATAGTTTGATCTCTAATCTCTATATTATTATTTGAGTAGACATTTCATAAATAAACCTTTATTTGTAAGATATTACAGAATATTTTACATAAATAAACATTTATTTATAAGATATTACATAAATATACCTTTACTTAGAAGATATTACTTAAACAAACTTTACAAATATAGAAATCTCAATTAAATATATGGATATAAATCAAAAGTATATTTAGTTTCTTTACTTATTAAAATATTAAAATATATTCTATTATTTTTAATAATAATCAATCCATATATATGAAAAAATCAATTTAAACTTTTGAAATATTTTTCATTTGTATTTTCATTATTATTTAGTATCATTTTCGAAAATCAGTTCAATTATTTATATAAAAAATAAAATTATGTTTTCAAAATTTAAATTATTTTTTTTTAACGGGTTGGCCAAAAAATAGTTTAGTAAATTGTGAAATATACTAAGTAGACGGGTTTTTCCATTTTGACAATCCTATATATAATCATTGTTAACACATATTATATAAGTTATTAACTAAAAATGATAGTTTGATCTCTAATAAAATATTCACAATTATTTTTATTTTATGAATATATATATATATATATATATATATTAGATTTTAATCCATGTTGGTATGTATATAAGTATATATATATATTAATATCATATCACTTTCATATTTAAAAAAGCTACTAATAATTAAATCGCATAATAATATATATACAAGTAAATATCGGTTGTGTCATATTTATATAAGTATTGTTATCTAATTGTCACCAATTTTATTTATTCATATTTTTTGGTAAAGAACTTTTGTCACCAATTTAATTTAACAAAAAAATTAAATTAAATTTAAAGATAATTAAAAAAACATTACCCTGCATAATATGCGGGTTAATTCCTAGTCATATATACATTAGAGTATATTAAATAGATACATATTTATTTACGTATTCTGATATTTTTTTAAGTGTGTCAAAACATTTTTTATCATAAAACCTAAAACGGATGGAGTACCATTTATGAATTACCAATTTTAATTCTTATTTAGATACCGATTTATTTTTACTAACCTAGTTTATGATCTCCTCTCAAACAAACGTGCTTAATGTGTTTAGGGTTTGATCCCCTTAAAACGAAATATGGCATACATGAGATTTCATGATTAGTTTGTCGTTCGGCACATAAAACCAGATATCAAAAGTTTATTTACACAAAAAAAAAAAACAGATATGAAAATTAAAAGATACAATATATATTTAATTTAAATATAGCAAATATAACTATTTGATCATCATAAAAACATACAAATCGAGGCATTATTTTATTTCAACGTATCACAGCAAGCATATCTTGTTTCACACACACACACGTACACGTTACGTATTAAGGTCCAGATTGATTCATTCACACACATAAATATACTTAAACTACCCAACGAAAGGGGTTTGTGTGACAATGCCATAGTCATTGACAAGAACATAAACCCTATCGCAAACCACAACGGGCAAAACAATAGCATCTTCAGATATAATCTTAGCCGTCACTTTCGTATTCTCTTTATCAATTATCTCTTTTGCTTCTTCTCCTCTTCTCCCCACCAATTCAGGCCACGAGCTCTTCATCCCATCCCCAGCAGTGTCTATACATATACACACACCCATACATATTTATCACTAAATTATGAGATTCTGTTATCGATTTATCATAATCATGCATCATTTATGCTACACATACATGCATATAATATATGAATTATAAAACTTTATAATCGATTTATTATGTGTTAGAATATATCGGAGAGGTGAAATTAAGATTCTAGTCTTTAAATATTTGTTTACCGCATTCAATATTTATCTAATTACAAAATTGTAAATAATTTTAAATAGTTTTGAGACAGCTCTTTGGCTGCATATATATGTATATTGGTACTGTGTAAATATGTAATACCTGGGCACACGTCCGACATTTCTCTATTCTTTTTGGTTCTTTGAGTTCTCTCTCTTATCTTCTTTAAGGAGGTTTTGAGTTATGAAGATTGTACAAGAACCAAATGACTATTTATAGAAAACTTCTGATGGCTATTCTCTTTCTTTACAATATGTACACATGAAAAAAATTGAGAGAGAGAGAGAGAGAGCCAGATTCGTACGCTTTTGGGGTTTTACGTACGTACATTTGATCCAACGTGTGTGTGTTTTTATTTAAATTTTATATTGTCAAGAGTTTCACCTACTTTAGATACTAAGATACACGTCAGAGAGATATATATGGATATATGTCAAATGTTTGAACAATATTGGTGGCTCTAAAATGCAGTATATATAATATAATAACGTGTATATTATATTGTGTTATCTCCTAGCAGTCGTGTGTGGTTTGAATACAATATGTAGACCATAAGCTCTCATGAATGTAACGCGTATATTTCTGAAATAATTGTTGGCCGTTTTTGGCATAACATGAGTTCATTGAGTTGTAATATATATATATATATATATATAGATATATTGTCATAATGTAACATATTTTCCACAATCATACGGTTTTTTTCCACACAATAAATATTGTAATGTTTGTTAAAACTCTTTTAGTTTATTGTTTCTTATTTTATTTTGTATACTTATATTACATCATAAAGTCTTTCATCTACAAAATTGAATAAAAATGCATAGAATAACTATGTCATATGCGTATCTTTTGTGTTTTTTTTTTTCATTTCCTTTTCCTTTACTTTGTGCATTTTTGGTGAAAAAAAAACACTTGAATCTGACCAAAAACAAAGAAAAGGACATTTGAATAGTTCAAATGGCCTTTTATTCGTCATCTTTATATATATAAATAAGATTAAAAATGCATATGGCCACTCCTTTAAACCCAAAACCTCAGTGTCCGTTCAATGGCCTGAAGTCTCTGTAGCCGTTGATTCCAGCTGATAAATTCGGGTTTAGTGAATCTAAGTCAAAGTAAGAGTAATTACTAGCTGCTGCTGATGCTGCATCGTCTTGGTTCCTCATAGCGAGTAAAGACAAGTCCATTCGCCATTTGCCATTGCGTTTGTGTCAAACCATTCCCATACGGCGAAGAAGAAGAAGATGAATGTAACAAGTATTCACCACCGTAAGATTGGTGAAATCCATCGTCGCTGTAACTCCTCGACCTGCCTGAGATACCAAGATCCGCACCGTCATGTATGAGTACATGTTGAACCATTGTGGTACACAGTATACACTGGTGCCCATGAAACCACCGTGTCCGTCTTCAAGCAGATCATTGATGATATCGAGGTGAGGGAACTCATCAGTCATCAGACTATGTGTCGTTCTTGTAGGCCGGATGCTTGTAGTTAGGGGTGTGGTGTTGTAAGGGTTCATCCCATGATTCCTGTTGATAGTTGTTGTTGGTATTTCTCTGCTTGAACTCAAACCGGTCCACAAGAGTCCACTAGAGGAAATATCCCACGAGCCAGCTTGGCTAGTAAAGCCAGGTTGATTAGATACTGAGATAGGAGACGGATGTGAGTAAAGGGAAAATGCGCTTTTTCCCGTCAATTGAGAGTTTAAATGGTTGAACCCAGATGAACCAATTATGGCATGTTTATAGGATTGAGGAGTGTATGTTTGGCTATGTGTCAGCGAACCTATACGGCCTGTTGAGCTCATTGAACGAGCAAAGGAGGTTGTTGAGGTTTGAACAGCAGAGATTACAGGTGGAGCTTGCTTTGAAGGGATTATAGGAGCACTCAAAGGCCTTAACATAGAAGGAGCTGCTGGTTGTGCCGTGGGTTTTGGAGAAGCGGTTTTCTGTACATCGGATCTAGGAGCCACAGTTTGCAACTGAATATCTCGAGATGGTGATGCTTGATCTGATGAAGGTGATCTAGCAGATATTGGTCTCCTGTTTGGAACAGAATCTACATAATTTGAAACACCGTTTTTCTCCGATTTTGCTTGCGCTACAGATGTGAGATTCCAGGGAGCAGCTCTGGGCGAGATAAGTATAACAGGGCTTTTCTCTTGCGTCTGAACTGTGCTGTGATCCTGAAAATTGGATAAAATATTGTCATTCAATGTTGATGTGCATATCATGTGGCTCTCCCTTTTTATGGTTATCTTCTAATTTCAAGTATTAAAATTTTAAACGTATGTGTGAACCACCTTGCTAATAGGATTACGCTCCACACGCCTCTCTGGTTCCTGGACGTTGGAGATAACCACGTCAGCTTCACCAACTCTACGTACCTTAGAAGCATGGCTTTGGTTCTTCGGATTAGATGTGTGTCTTGAAGGTTGGTCCTCTGTTTCACTGGCTAAACTTTTGGCATCAGAGAAGCATGGCTTTGGTTCTGAAGGCAGATCACAAGCCATGTTTAGATATACAACAAACAAAAGAAACAAAGTAAGTTGCCAAAAAAAGATCTTACTTACTTGCTAAGCCATTTGTGGCTTCGGCAGTTTAATACATTTCCTTTGTACGACCCATTGGCTACATTTTATCAGATCGAGTCATTAGAACAAGTTGAGGAACTATCATCTATTGTGTAGAGACACTTTCTTTCTGCAACTCCATTAGGTATAGATATGGAACTGCCTCTTCCCCTGTTAGTGTCTCCTAAAGAAAGAGGATAAATCTCTGAGGCATCTTTTTCCCAATGAACATGGCTGCTCTCTCTTTCTTCTGAATCAAGGTAATGAATATCAGCTGAACTATCTACTGAATCAGAAACATCAGACACATCTACAAGTGTGTCGGGTTTCTCAGCTGACGGTTCTGCTTTCGCTCTCACACATTCCTCTTTCTCTAGATCCCTTTCTTCAGTTTGGGATCTTACCTTCACTTCTTTCCTTTTCTCCTTTCCTCTATTTTTGTTCTTTTTCTGTTTCGCCTATATAATACCAAACAAATAAGAATCTTCGTTAGCACCTCAACAAGTTGTTTTAAGGCCATTATATACTTTGGAAGTAACAGAAGTGTAAGGACCTGTTTCTTCTTAGATTTTTTTCTCTTTTTCTGCTGCTTTTCTTTTCGACTTCTGTTCGCTTTCTGCTAGCCACTCTTCCTTTTGTTTGCGAATAAGTTCTTCTTGTCTTTTCCATGCAATAGCTTCTTGGTATGCAACACTAATTTTGTTGCTGCTTTTCTCAGAAAGATCACAGTACGATACATGAGATACAGCTAAAAACACAAAGACACAACAGTACCAGAAGACCAGAAATACAAAACAAACACTATCAGCGGTTTCAGAATGAGATATTTCACGCGTGTTTGAGGTTGTAAACAAAGTATGCGCTTGCTTACTAATTGATTTGTATGGAAATTTCAAACCTAGAGAAAAATTATGACATATTACCTGAAGATATGTGCAAGAACAAATATCTTCACAGTCTGTCTACCCAACTCAGTTAAACGCTTCTCATCACGCTCTATGGCTTCTGTCCTGTATTCCACGACATTCCCATCCTAGATTCGAATGGTAGAATAGAAAAACATACACAAGTAACGTCAATTTGACATGGAGACAAGTGCTCATGCTTTAAACACTTTTACATGGATAATAAAAATCAAAATGCACCACCGCAACGATAGATAATACACCATGAATTCAATCAGTACAATACATAACATATGAAACTAACCTTGGTACGGTTTTGAGGATCCTTTTCCTCTTTTAGAGGCAATGGCTCCAGAACAGCCTTCTCTATGAGTACTAGCACATCATCAACTAATACAAACATATCTTTCTCCACGCTAACAAATGGAGCTGGCAATTCTTCGGTATCCAACAGTCTCGGCCTACTTTTCTTGTTCTTAGTTTGGCCTTCAAGAGCCTTCAAACCACTATACAAGGAATCCATCACCAAAGTGGATGTCACTTCCTTCTCGATGAAAAGTGTTTTACAACCATTTTTAAAATAACATCCATTTTCTCCTGGGACATCTGACACCTTAAATTCTGGTTCAACCCTACCCAGAAGGTAGCAAAACTGCACAAAGAATAACAATACATTCCGTCTATGCATATTGCTGAAACTTTGAGGGAAAATATCAAGAAATAAGAAAGGAAAAGTTCAGAACTACACCAGACTAAAGTAAATCCAAGGCCTCCGCCACAACAGCTATTCAAAATTTCATTCTCGAATCTGAGGAAATGAGTGTAAATGTGGAATACTTTTTCCATTTTGCCATCCTGTAAAAACCTACCAAGCTTGCTTCTTTTCTCTTCTAGAAATCGCCCGCAACTTTGCTCTACATTTGACATATATACCCTAACAAGTTCCTTCCTATACTGACAAAAAAGGCAGCGAAAAGGTCGGTCCACCCTCTCTCTGCAAGAATTAATTAACAAGAGTTATCCACAATGCAGAGAAAAAAAAACAATTAAGCCTAAATGATGTTGCTATGTGTATGGTTGGGAAAGTTTTAAACATGTGGATGTATGTTAATGACAATGTATGACACATGACTTTAGGTAAACTCAATCTTGCATTTACCTGATCCCTGAACTTGAGCCTTGATTATAAGAAAGTCGGAATCACTTATAAACCCATCCTGCAATTTAGGTAACTCTATAAACTTTTTTCCATCCCCAATCATGCTCTTTCTTCCAAAACCGGTGTAATGTATCTGCAAGAAATTAATATGTTCAGTTTGTCCTTGTAATGGGATGGAGACCAACTAAAAGATGCAAAAGGTTACATGAATGCTTCGATTTCTTTGGATATTTGTTCACAACAGCTATTGTAAATTGCGCAAAATGACTCCAGCCAGTCTCAAAGATAACATAGGAACCTAAATTATAACGTTTCCAAGTCGAGAGAGGGATGCTAAAAACAGACAACAAGCAAATAACAATACTTCACCTGGAAGAAGTTTATCATGGTTTGCAATACATAGAAACAAAGAGAGATGGTTGCAAACATCACACCCTTGTGGATAGATTAGAATATATACCTGCCATGAGATGATATGAAACTTTTTGTTAATATATTAGCATGCATAAGGAAAAAAAATATATATAACTAGGTTTAGTAATGACAAAATTTCAATATTATTATCATGATGACTGATTGAATAGGCTTCCGAGAGCCCATATATATGGAAGGAGAAAAAATAGATATCATTTACCATTTGTAACCCCCAACTTCAAAAACATCGCCACGTAGCTCCTATTTGTTGATTTCTGAAAATTTCTAAATCTCCCATGTATCTTTCCAATATATTTAGAAGGTTTTAAACCTAAGAAATAACAAATATGTCGACTAAAACGCCACCAGACACACATGGTAATACCACAAAAAGCCAAGACAAAAAACGCTAGTCTTATTCGAGAATATAGCATTTAAAGAACGCTAGTCTTATTCGTTTTCATGCAGCTAAACAACATTCATGAAAACCAAATCATCATCATCATCATTGGCGAGTCTCATTGGAGACTATAACATTTAAAGCATAAAGAGACTCGTTTTCAAGCAGCTAAACAACATTCACAAAACCTAAACATGCAGAAGAAAAAACAACTTACCAAAATCAACATCATCATCAATGGCGAGTCTCATTAGAGAATATAACATTTAAAGAATAAAGAGACTCGTTTTCATGCAGTTAAACAACATTCACGAAAACCTAAACATGCAAAAGAAAAAACAACTTACCAAAATTAACATCATCATCAATGGTGAGTCTATTTCGAGAATATAACATTTCAAGAAGAAAGAACCCGTTTTCATGCAGCTAAACAACATTCATATAAACATAAACATGCATACAAAAAAATAACATACCAAAATCATCATCATCAATCATCAATGGAGTCTATGTCGAGAATATAACATCTCAAGAAGAAAAAACATGCAGGTAAACAACATTCATGTAAACCTAAACATGCTTCAAGAAAAAACAACATACCAAAATCATCATCATCACCAGTGTCCCAGTACACTGGCGATGTCGAAGGAGTCCCATTCTCCACTTGATCAGACGAGCGCCACTCCGCGAGTGCTTCTTCTGATTGACTTCTTCTTCCATTTGATAAATTCTCATCCACTGATGTCCCTGCTCTAGAATCTTCATTAGTAGTCTCGGACATTCCTCTAAAAGCTTATCTCTCTCTTTCAAACTACAAAAATTAAACGATTTGAGCATATAAATTAGAACCTAAAGTAGTCTAAAACAATGGCTATGATCAAATTGTCAAAACTATACTATTTAGAAACTGACGAATTAACAAATGAACAACAAGCTCAAAATATTTTCCCAGATTAAGATAATCAAATGAATGGATTATAGCTTTTACAGTCTAAATACATTGAAAAATTTTAAATAAAAAAAAAATTCATGGCTCAAATCAATACACCAAAACCCTCTCAGCATCAAATTAAGCAATGAGAATGAGAAGAAACCCTAAAACCAATCTTAGAAACATCGAAATGCAATAGGACCAATCAATTCACAATACACTATCAGCTAACTCTCCAGGATTACAATTAATTGCGAGAAAACGTGAAAATACAAAAAAAAAAAATTTAGGAAAAAGAACAAAAAAACTTGGAATAAATCAGCAATCGAAAAACCAAAAAACACACAAACTAAAACCAGGATTGAAAAATCGGAAACCTAAGCAGCCTCGGAAAATCCGAATAGTAAGGGAAGCGAGATTAAAGAGACGTAAACGAAGAAGCTGTATAGATCAAAACGCAAGCCTGAGATGGTGGAAGAAAGAGTAGAAAGTTTAATCGCTGAATGGATTAATGGCAGCTCCTGAAGCGTTTTTCTAGAGAGACGAAAGAGAGAGAGATGGAGAGGTCGTAAGAAAGAAGAAAAACACAGCGAAAGAGAAGAGAAAAAAACCTTATTTTATTAAAAAACAAAAAATCATTTAATAAGTTTTATGACATAATAATATATGTATAACGTTCATGTTTCATTTTTTCTCCATTTGTTAGCACTAGGAGTAAGACATGAAAACCAAATGGCAAAAAACAAAAACTAGTGTTGGGGTCGGTTTCCACCCTCAAACCCACTTCTAAAAAGACTAAGTGGTTGAGATATTATGTCTAGCTATGTCTGATCCAATCTGGGCTTCCTTTTTGATGGGCCGAGCTCTGTTGAGGTACAAGTTGGGCCGAGCTGCGAGAAAGAGCAAGTTGGGCCGAGCTGCGAGAAAGAGTAAGTGGGCCGAGCCCTGTTGAGGTGTGAATTGGGTCGAGCCGCGGGAAAGAGCAAGTGGGCCGAGCTGAAAAGAAAATGGAGGGTGAGCTGCATCGCAAGACGTGTGGGCCGAGCTGATTGATGTTTGATGGCTAACAAGACCAACCGCGGAGGATGAAGCCCGTCCGAAAATCCTAGGCGAAATGTTAAGGCGGCGGCCCGCGAGGCGATAAAAAAATATTCCGAAAATCTCTCCCGAGATTCTCGGCTAGGCAGTTCATAGACTCTGTATAAATAGTCGCTGCAAACAATTCATTATGTAACTTTTCACAACTCGAGAGCAATAAGACTTAAACAATTTTTCAGTAAAAAACCTTCTTTTGATCTTACTGTTCTTGCGATAAACTCTAGAAATTTTGGATCCCTTAAATTTTCCTTCACAAATTTTTGGTTGTGCGAGTTTTGGCTCACACAATTTGGCGCCGACTGTGGGGAACTCGAAATTTTCTTACTCAATATCGTCAAGAGCTTGAGATCCGAAACAAATGACAACCGACGCACCCAGAGATGACAACAGCAACGACCACAACACGGAGAAGGATGCTCCCCAAGCGAACGGGATGACAACCACTGAAACTCAGGACAAGATGAGGAGCATGCTGTCCACCATGATGAAGAATATCGAGGAGTAGGACAAGTTAAACGAGGCGATCGCAGAGAGACTCGACGCAATAAAGGCTGAAAGACAGCAACCGACTTGGAGAGCCAGGATCTCCAATCCGACAGATGGAGTCAGGAGACGCTTCGACTTCTCGACGCCTGCATGAGCATCCAGTAGCGGCACAAGAAATCCCATGGCTCCACCAATATTTTGTCCCCTCAACGAACAAATTCCAGCAGCAACCCGAGGTGATGAGGAGGAAAACGACATGAACGACGTGGACGCCCAGCAGAGCGACTGTACCAGAAACTCACAGCAAAACGGCTCAGCTCGGTGGATAGGTCAAGAAGAGCTCATCTCGACGCTTAATGGCATCCAAACTGATGGAGTCACCAACCCGACCCGCGATAACGATTCAACTGAAGAAGAAGAGAACCTCCAATGGGTCGAGCAGGCGGAGTACAAAGACGACCCGAGGAGAGAAGAACAGGAGAGACCTCTTCCACCTAGGAGAATGAACCGCACGCAAACCAAAGAGATGGAAGAGCTCCGAGCCTCCATGGCTCGGACAATTGCAGAAATTCGCACCATAAAATCTCAGGTGCATAACACAATAAGCATCGCGCCAGAGATCGATTGGATGCTTGAAGAAATCCAGAGGACTCCGTTTATGACGAGGATCACGGAGGTTAGGATCCTCGAGCCCAGGAAAGCCAAGATCCCTTTCTATGAAGGAACCACCGACCCGAAAGCTCATATCACGGCGTTCCGCGTAACAATGGGACGAGCTTTCACGAGGAACTCTGCCAAGCTAACCGAGCAAGAAAAAGACGCTGGTTATTGTCTGCTGTTCGTAGAGCTTCTCAAAGGGGCCGCACTAAAATGATTCTCAAGGCAAGAACGTAATTCGATCAACAGTTTCCAGCAGCTTCTCCGCCTTGTTCTTGAAGCAGTATTCGATGTTCATGGATCAAGGCACCTCCGACGCCGATCTATGGACGTTATCTCAAGGACCTAACGAACCTTTTTAGGATTACATGGCAAGGTTCAAAGCTGTTGTGTCTAAAGTAGAAGGAATAAGTGACAAGACCGCTCTTGAAGCCCTAAAGCGATCTATGTGGTACAAATCGGAGTTTCAACGGGAGATGGCGCTGAACACACCGCAAACAATCCAGGACGGTCTGCATCGATCATCGGACTTTGTCGTGAATAAGGAAGAAATAAAGAATTTAGACAAGCAATACGAAGCGACAAAAAGAACAATCTGGAGCTCGATTTTAACTTCAGATCTGAAGAAATACTATCACTAAGGATACACCACGACCAACGTGAACTACGGGATGACTTGATCCCTGCAAAAGGTACGTAGGCAGCCTATCTTCGGACGATTTCAGCTCTCCCCCCCCTCCCTCTTAAAAAGGGGGGGAGTGGGTACGTTTACATTTATACTTACACCATTTTTAAATTTTTTAGATCGTCGAGTCAGCTATCTCTAGGCTTATTTTCACCTCGGCTAGTTTTTCATTCACTTGTTTTCATTTCGGCTACTCTCTTATTCACTTGTTTTACGTCGGCTAGACTTTTACTTGTCTTACAAATTGCTTTATTGATCTCGCATTGCTTCAGCAAAATTCTTGCTCTTTACCATTTCCCTTCGGTATCCAAACACCGAACACCTCGTCTCGTTGCTGGCCACAACGAGACAACAAACACAAAGTTTTCTAAACAGACTTTTATCACCTTTCCTAGGACGAGGGTGCAAATTACATCTTCTATGGATAAAAATTAAGCGCGCTATACAAATTTCAGACCAAAAACGTATCGGTCGCTACAACTCACTATCGCACACGAGATTATAAATCGAGACCACATCGTTTTCTCTAAAACCGAAGTGAACTCTTAAAACCCGGAAAAACACACTCACCCTCTCGAGAACGCTGGTCTATAGTCATATTCCAAAGAGAACACTATATCCTCTTGAACTTTCGCCTCGACAATGAGAAACCCTGGCCTAACGCCTCGGCAAGAAAAAACAGGCTCAAGCTAAACACTTTGGCTGCAACGCCCGACTCTTCCTCACGAACGATCAGTCTCTCAAAGAGAACAAGGCCTATAAAACACGTCACTTACTTGACAATTGCTTCAGCATTATTCGGAGATCCTTTCTAAAAACAATCAAAAACAGCTCACCTCAATGAGGACCTCTCTCAGAGATAGAATGGATAAATCTCAACGAACAACCCGAAATCATCTCTGGTTAATAAAAAAAACAAAACGCCTCGTTGTTATACACGGATCGGCATCATCTAATAAAAAAACCTCTTCGTTATCATTAAACACGGCTCGGCATCATCTAATGAAAACACCTCGTCGTTATCATTATACACGACTCGGCGAAAACACTTCGTCGTTATCATTATACACGACTCTGCAAAAATGCCTCGTCATTATCATTATACACGACTCAACAAAATGCCTCATCTTTATCATTATACACGACTTGGCGAAAACGCCTCGTCAATATCATTATCCACGACGAGGCAAACACGCCTCGTTATCATTATACTCGACTCGGCGTCATTTAAACGAAAATGCCTCGTCGTAATCATTAAACACGGCTGGACATCGTCTAATGAAAATGCCTCGTTGTTATCATTAAACACGGCTAATGAAAACACCTCGTCGTTATCATTATACACGACTCAACAAAAATGCCTCGTTGTTATCATTAAACATGACTTGATGTCATCTAAGCGAAAACACCTCGTCGTTATCATTAAACACGGCTCGGCGTCATCTAAGCGAAGATGCCTCGCCGTTATCATTAAACACGACTTGCCGTCAATTAAACAAAAATACCTCGTCGTTATCACTGCACATGGCTCGGCGTCGTCTAAGCAAAAACGCCTCATCGTTATCATTAAACACGGCTCGACATCATCTAAACAAAGATGCCTCGTCGTTGATGCTCGAAACAGCTCACCCAAGAGAGAAGGCCATCGCATCCCTAGTTCAGCTCGGCTGTCATGCTCTCAATCATCAGCTCATCGCTTAGGCATCACCTGCCTTGTCGCTTAGGCATCACCTGCCTTGTCGCCTAGGCATTATCACGGCTCGTCGCCTAGGCATCATCTTACCTCGTCGCCTTCATCTTGCCTTTTTGCCTAGATATCATCTTGCCTCATCGGCTAGGCGTCATCTTGTATCGTCGACTAGCCATCATCGGCTCATCGCATAGGCATCATCTTTCCTTTTGCCTAGGCATCATCTCGGCTTGTTGGCTAGGCGTCATCTTGTATCATCACGTAGCCATCATCGGCTCGTCGGCTAAGCGTCATCTTGTATCATCACGTAGACATCATCGGCTCGTCGCCTAGGCATCATCTTGCCTCTTCACCTAGGCATCCCATTTCCTTGTCGCCTAGCCATCATCTCGGCTCGTCGGCTAGGCACACTCTTGCCTTGTCGCCTAGCCATCATATCGGCTCGTCAGCTATGCATCATCCTTTATCATCGTGTAGCCATCATTGGCTTGTCGCTTAAGCCTAACCTCGCCTTGTCGGTTAGGCATAAACTAGCCTTGTCGCTTAGGCATTACCTCGCCTTGCCATTAGGCATTATGTCAGCTCGTCGCCTAGATATTATCTTGGCTTGTCGCCTAAACATCAACTTGCCTCCTCGCCTAGGCATCACCTCGCCACATCGTCTAGGCACTATCTCGCCTTGTCGCCTAGGCATCTGCACACCACAGCACTATGGGCACCTCGTCATTAAGAACGGCTCGGTATTGTCAAGCAAAACGCCTCTCCCTTAACTCATTCAAAACACCTCGCCACAGTGCCTCATGAGAGCGCATCGGCCAATATATATAAAAAAAAACAAAACAACAAAAGAAACATGAAACCAGTGAGCCTCAAAGACTTTGCAGTTTCTTTACGGTTCAGCAGCACCTACACATGAGCTACTTCGTAACGGCTCAGATCGATGGCTAAACTTGTAACAGACCTCGTCATCTTTGTCTTCAAAGCTAACGAGCTGAGGGGCTAACTGTTGGGGTCGGTTTCCACCCTCAACAAGTTTACCCACTTCTAAAAGGACTAAGTGTTTGAGATATTATGTCTAGCTATGTCTGATCCGAGCTGGGCTTCCTTTTTGATGGGCCGAGCTCTGTTGAGGTGCAGGTTGGGCCGAGCCGCGAGAAAGAGCAAGTGGGCCGAGCCCTGTTGAGGTGTGAGTTGGGTCGAGCCGCGGGAAAGAGCAAGGGGGCCGAGCTGAAAAGAAAATGGAGGGTGAGCTGCATCGCAAGACGTGTGGGCCGAGCTGATTGATGTTCGATGGCTAACAGACCTAGCCGCGGAGGATGAAGCCCGTCCAAAAACCCTAGGCGAAATGTTAAGACGGCGGCCGCACGAGGCGATAAGAAAATATTTTAAAAATCTCTCCCGAGATTCTCGGCTAGGCGGTTCATAGACTCTGTATAAATAGTCACTGTAAATAATTTATTATGTAACTTTTCACAACTCGAGAGCAATAAGATTTAAACACTTTTCCAGCAAAAAACCTTCTTTTGATCTTACTGTTCTTGCGATAAACCTTAGAAATTTCGGATCCCTCAAGTTTTCATTTACAAATTTTTGGTTGTGCAAGTTTTGGCTCACACAACTAGTAGTTTTTCGTTATTTGTTAATATCATCATTTACGTTTTCAAAAATCATTCATAACTTATTTTCCAAGAAAAACTAAACAACGGTTGTCTAAGGAACTAATTAAAGCAAAGAGATTTTAAATTTGTTATATACAAAATATTATTTTTCACTTATTTTTAAATTATTTAAAAATAGACCCACGTTATTTATATATAAAGAATTAATAATTTGAAGAAAGTTCAATACTTAACTTTGATAAATATGAAAACCGTAAGATATGCAAATGGCAAGAAAATAACTGAGATTACTGGAATTTGGAAACAATCTATGGCAACAAACTCTGTAGGAGGAGAATGTTAAAAGACATACAATTGCAGGAAAATTTATGGTAGTCTATTAGTGAAAATGGTGCTATTTTGGATTAGGTTATATAGATTTGAAATTGGTATTTGTTAAATTTAAGGATGCTTTAATGAATACAAAAAGTTGTTCTTATATCTAAAAAATACAGCCAAATGGCAAAACAAATCTAGTTATTTTTCCTGGTCCAAATAAGTAATTAAAGGAAGATATATTAAATTTTAACTTAAACATATATTTTGTCATTTAGTTTTTAAAAATTTAGAAATAAAACTTAAACAAATCACGTGGAAATTATCATAAAAGAGTATTTATCATTTGTTTTTTATATATGTATAGTTAAAAGAGTATTTAGCTAATCATAAAAGAGTACTTAACATTTGTTATTTATATATAAGTAGGTAATAGTCAGCATGATAGGCAGATTTATGTGATGTATATAATAGATTTAAACTCTAAATCAAAGTTATTTGAACAATCAAATAAAATAAATATTGGAATTTTAATTTGAAGATGTTTTACTTGTTAAAATCATTCTGTAAATCACATATGAAATTTTTTACATGTAAATATTTATAACTTTTAACCCTTTTTTTTATTGATTAGGAGGTTCTGATCTCAAAAGTATGTATATTCTTTAGAACGTGGTTTCAAGTAGGGCTGGAATTATTATCCGGTATCCGAGATACGATTTGGGATCCGCTCCAATCTACTACAAAAAATTTGGATATTCGAAAGGATCAGATTTAGATAGTAAAATCTTATATCCGTCAAAACTGGATCCGGATCCGGATAGTTAAATTATAAGGTCTGGATATCTTTAACCTCTAAATATATTAAAAATTATATTTTATTAGTTTTTAGTTTTTTAATTTTTTTTTCCGGATCTAGATATCCGCAAATATCTTAATATTTAGGTGAATATCCGAAATCCGGATATCCAGACATCCCGAATACGGATCTGGATAATTAAAACTCAGATTCGGCGGATCCATATAAAGATCTGGATATCCGCTCCGTTCCAAGGCTAGTTTAAATTACGTTAACTAACTCTTTTTGGAGAGCAGATCCCAATGTGCATCAAATCCGTGACTTTGAATATACTATTAAACTTTAAACAAAGTCAAATACCTAACGTACAATAAAGCAGAAATTATAAGATCTGCAAAAGATTAAAGAATAGATGGAATGACTGAAAAATGTTTGTCTGCGAACTATGTAAGAGGAGAATATTTGATGAGAAACAACTGCAGGCAAGTTTCTGGTATTGTTACGAAAAACGATGCTATTTTGGATTGGTTTAATTTTTCAGACAAGTTTCTGGTAGTGTAATAGTAACAGAATTTAAACTGTTAGCTGTTAAATTTAGGGATAAGGTAATGTCTATTTTTTTTTGTTAAAAAGGGATAAGTTAATGTCTTAGTAAGTAGGGTTGACGACCTATTTCCCCCCAATAACTATGATATATTAACAAATCCCCCCCAAAGTTTAATCTTCATCTTATATCTTCCTAATTAAAACTTATCAACCTAAAAACCCCTAAAAAGAAACTATCGAACAGATTTCCCCCCGAAATAGAAGTTGAAAACTAATAACCCCCCAAGCCGTAAACTAACTCGGTTTAGTGTTTACCGAAGAATGCTTTACCAATTTAAAAATATGTTTAACCAAATTTTAACTCGATTATAAAAAATTAACCAGATTATGACCCGATTAAAAGAGTAAACCAGAATAAACCCGAATTAAGGAAATCAAACCCTAATCTCCAAAATCAGAGAAATTCCCAAATGGATTTCCCAATTTTGAAGAATCCTAAACGATTCCCCAAATCGATTTCTCAGCATCTGAACCTCTAATCCCGATTTCTTCACGAGGTTTAGTTTACTCTCCCTCCCTCTCTTCTGCGTTTTCGATTCGAACCAGGCATGAACTTCTATTCCCGATTTTGATGCCTGCTTTCTCACTTTCATTTATCGATACTGGAACATGCTAAACCATTCTACCAATGCTGAACATTTGGCTCGCGATTTTAACCTGCTTAATCCTGAATTCGTGTTTGAACATAATATTTTGATGGCCTGCTTCCTCACTTTCATGTGGCTCACGATTTTGAACATGCTAATCCTGTTTTCGATTTTGAACCATCAGTCACTCACCTGCTAATCCTGATTTCTTCATGTTTTTTCTCTTTGTAGACAATGTCGATAGTGCCTGCATTTGAGCCATTGTTTCCTTCTGATTCTGATGTTGATTCCGACGGTGAAGACAAAAGAGAACGGAATAACTATAACGTCGAGGAAGTGGTATCTCAGTTCAGGGATGAGTCTCCCATCAGGCATAATGATTATCCTGAAACTGACTTTGATGAAGGAGATGAAGTGAAACGGACAGCTAAGAGACGCAACAACATCCCGAGAGGTAATGGAAACTTGTACTTTGGACAAGTTTTCATGAATGGCATTGCTTTTAAAGAGGCTGTTCTGGATCATGCTCTAAAAACTGGTCGGAACATAAGGCAGAAGAAGTATGATAAAAACAAGCTTAGCTTCAGTTGTGAAGGTATAGGTTGTTCATGGCACATAAATTGCTCCATATCTGGAAAGACTAGTCGGTGGCAGGTTACAGTCTTTAAAGAACCTCATACATGTGTTCCTAATGGGGTTTGCACAATGCTAAAAGTCCCACAAATTGCCCGGTTGTTTGTTGACAAGATCAGAGAAGAGCCAGAGTACTACATGCCAATGAAGATTGAAGAAATGGTTATGGAGAAATGGAAGATTTCTGTGACAAGGCCTCAGTGCCAACATGCTAGGATTAAAGCGTTGCGGTGCATTGATAGGGAATATGCAGAGCAGTTTTCAAGGCTTCGAGACTATAAGGCTGAGATAGAAGAGACAAACCCTGGATCATCTGTGGAGGTCGATTGTGTGAGAAATGAAGCTGGACAAGATGTATTCCAAAGGTTTTATGTCTGTTTCAATGTTCTTAGAAGAACATGGAAAGAAACTTGTAGGCCTCTCATAGGAGTTGATGGTTGTTTCCTGAAATCTGTTCAGAAAGGTGAGCTATTTGTTGCTATGGGACGAGATGCTGATAATGCAATTTATCCAATTGCATGGGCTGTAGTTCAGAAGGAAAACACAGATAATTGGCAGTGGTTCTTCACGAAGATCAAAGCTGATTTAGGACTTGAAGATGGCGATGGATATGTGTTGGTCTCTGATCGTCAGAAGGTAAACTTATTTTTTTTTCACACTTGTTTATAATGCACCGATAATTGATGCTCGTTTATGTTCATTTTTTTGTACTTATGATTTTTATAGGGTTTGATCAATGTTGTTATGCAAGTGCTCCCAAAAATTGAGCATAGAATGTGTGTGAGACACATCTATATGAATGTGAAGTCTCGGCACAGTAAAATGCCAGAGCTGAAGACCTACATATGGCGGCTAGCACAAAGCTACAATGAGGCTGATTTCAGAATAAATTTGAGGAAGATAGAAGATTGGGATGCACGTGTTTATGCCGATATAAAGAAATCAAAACCAGAAACTTGGTGCAGGGCATTCTATAAGTTTGGACCATATTGTGAAGATGTGGAAAATAACTCCACAGAATCATTTAACAACTCTATAGGTATGGTTTGTTTTATATATCTGTTTATATCTGTTTTTTGTTCATATATCTGTTTTCTTTGTAAAAATATCTGTTTTTTTTTCAGGTAAAGCCAGAGATAAGGCTTTGGTTCCTATGTTAGAGGCCATAGCACGACTTGCAATGGTGCGCATAGCCAAAAGAGATATCAAAGCAACTAAACATGAAGGCGTTTGTACACCTTATGTGATTGATTATCTGGCTGAGTTGCATGAGAAAGCTTCAGAATGCTTTATCAAACCATCCACAAACAGGATGTATGAGGCTAAACTAAACGGATGCTCTCATTATGTGAATTTGGCGCATTGGACTTGTAGCTGTAAACGATGGGATATCACAGGCATTCCATGTGAACATGCATATGGAGTGATGCTGCGCAAAGGACTTGAGGCTCAGGACTACGTTTGCCACTGGTTTAGGACAACTACGTGGAGGAGGAATTACACTGATGAGATTGTTCCAATCAGAGGTGCGAAGTTTTGGCCAAACACAGATGAGCCATCGATAATTCAACCTGAAGTGCCAGATATGCCTGGCCGTCAGAAGGTAACTAAGGCAGATAAAAAAAGGAAGAAAGATAAGAACGAGTCTCCAGTGAAGAAGGCAAACAAATTGTTGAAAAGGGTTATGCATTGTAAAATTTGTGGTGAAGCTAATCATAACTCGCGGTTCCACAAGAAAAAGCCAAAAACGGTTTGTGTTTTCTTTATGTGCTTATTGCTTATTCTTGTGAATGGGTTTGTACTTATTGCTTCTTGTTTTGTCATTTTTCAGAATGCAGCATCATCTCAGGCTGAAGCATCATCTCAGGTTGAAGTATCTCAAGGAGTTACCACTCAGATTTGAGCTATTTTTTTTCACTCATGTGTTGCCTCTTTTTTTTTTTAATTTCTCATTAGAATGATTATTAGACCAGTTTTATGGTCTATTAAAAGACTTGTAAGACCTGTTTTATGGTTCTTAGAAGTACTTAGCAACTAATGGTATCTGTACGATGGTTCATTTTTTTTTTGGTTTAGTCATCAATGGTTTTTATTTATTTTTTGTCCTTATATTGTCAATTTACAGTCAGTAATCTGTTTTATTTTTCTTTTGTGCTACACGTATTTGTGCTGAAAACTGCAATCTACACCCACGAAGTGACTCTTTTTCTTTAAAAGAGTCAGATTCAATGCTCATCCTCAAACTCGAAATTCAATCTACACCCACGAAGTGACTGTATTGAGCTTCAATTTACAAAATCAGAAATCAGAAATCATACCTTAATCATCATCGTTTAATCTAAACCAGATACGAAAACCTTTTACTCGTTTTTACTCACATTCGCTATTCAAAATCAGAACAGAATTGCTCTCTAATTTTTTTTAGGGTTCATCGATAATTTGGAATTTTCATAAAACCAGGTCGGGTTGGAATATCTGTTGGGTCGGGTCGGAATATCTATTGGGTCGGTTCTTTTGGTCTGGTCTCAGTTTTGGTTCCTGGTTTATCAGTTTCGTATCGGGTTTGACGCATAAACCATCGAAACCAACGAACATGGGGAAATCTGTTCGATAGTTTCTTTTTAGGGGGTTTTAGGTTGATAAGTTTAAATTAGGGAGATATAAGATGAGGGTTAAACTTTGGGGGGATTTGTTAATATACCATAGTTATTGGGGGGAAATAAATAGTCAACCCTAGTAAGTACATAAAAGTTGTTCTTATACATTAAAGAGTTTTTGACAACGAAAAAAGCCTTTTGAGATGCGCAAATTTTCCCAACAAGAAACCCTAGCCGCCAACCTTAAGACTCATCTTCTGTCGCCTCTCCGGTCCGGCGTTCTCTGTCATGGCCATGAAGGGCGACTCTGCATAAAGTAAGCAGGTGCTCTTCAGATGTGGTGGTGGGAAGCAGATCTGAGATCGGACGCAACTCTCTTCTTCTCCGGCTGTGCTGAGGTGTGGAGGAGTCGCCAAGGTGATGCGGAGTGGTGGTATGGGCATTAGAGGTTGCTGGATCTTACCAGATTAGGATCTGTTGGAGGACTGCGGAGGCGAATCACGAAGGGACAGTAAACGGCCGGCTTCGGCTTTGAGGTTCATCGAGCTGCTCCGCTGCGGACGTCATGCAGTGGCTCAGAAAGTTGCACGGCGAGTCAAAGGGGATCGCGGCTGTAGCGGCTCACGGCAGATCTAGTAGTGGAGTGGATGGGCTTCGCTCCCCACCCTTCGTTGCCGATTTGTTGTGCCCTTGACCGCATTGAAGATTAGGGTCGAGCTATCGATGATTTGGTGTTTACCCGGCGTGTTATTGTCAGCGATATGGTGAGCTTGAGGACACTCAGTGTTGGCGAACCGCTTCATGTTTAGGGTTTTCGACCAGTTCAACCGGTTCTTTTGTTCGATTTTATTTTTGTTAACCATTGCTAAATTCTCAGTTTGGGTTGATCAATAAAATATATTTTTTCTAAAAAAAAAAAAAAAAGAATTTTCCAGTTGTTGATATAACTTTTTCTGGTCGTGAGCTTTGAAGTTCGACAAAAAAAACTATTATGCTGAGTGAGGACTTTGATTCTTACTACTTAAGTTAGTCCATGCAAGCCAAAATAAAATTTACATTGAAATTAGTTTATACATTTATTTTTCATTTTTCCCATTTTGCTAAGAGTAAAAAGAGATGAAATTAATTATTTAGTTATCTTTGTTAATGAACTAAATCTATGTTCTCATATTATTACTACTTTCTTCACACGAAATAACAATTTTAATATAAAAAACGAGTTTTATTTCCTAATCTACCACATAAACTCAAAATTTTCACTCATAACATTTCTCATTAACAAAGTGTTTTTATTCCTTATTTAAATAACAATCTAAAAAATATGTTATTCAAATGGAAGTCACCAATCAAATTCGACGATTTTGAAATCTTGACTCTGAAATTGTCGATCATGAAAACGCTGATCAAATACTCCGATCCGCCCATCTGTGATCAAATTTTTGTTCGGCATCACCTCCGGCCAAGTATTCCTTCATCATTGATCAAGTCTCCGATCATTTTCAAACTACTCACATTTAAATCAGTTCAGTTTCCTTTTAAAAAAGATAAAATTTCATAATTAGAATAGTAATGTCAATAATTGATCTTTATAGTTTTATTATTTTTGAATTAAATAAACCTATAAAATCTACTTACTATAGACTCAAATTTGTAATAATACCTACACAGTAATATTTAGGACAAAATTTATATTAGATTGCTAATCAAAAATGAATAACATAATTCAGAACTGTAGTATAAATATCAAAACATATTTCATACAATAAATCAACAAATTAATAAAGTTTCATCTGCATGCTTAGAGATTAGAAATTTAACACAGTTAATCGTAAATACTTAAATTACACTAGATTATTTAGTCTAAACAAAATTGATGCGTCTAATCTTATTAAGTTTTTATGATGACAAATTACATACCAAAGTACTTCTAATATAAAATCATCTGAATTTTCTTTCAAAATCTATTTTTTCTTGTGATGGAATATCCTCGGAAAATACCATATCAGTGTTTCATGTGATTTTATGTTAAGATCTCACATTGAAAGTTTAAATGGATCAACTATAGATCAATTCACTAATTGTCAATTGGTTTTGAATTGGAAACTCATCAATCTTAACATGGTATCAGAACTTCGTTTGTCAATCTAAATAGAATGGCTTAAGAAGGGTTAACTACTGATCCTAAAGTGGAATTGAATTCAAGATGGACCATCTCGAAAAGCTTGTTAGAATCTCATATTGAAAGTTTAAAGGGATAAACACTAAAACCAGTTGGAGGCTTATCAGTTTAAACACTTTAACTGTGTTTTCAAGTGGTGGATGATTGAATGTTTATGTACTCTTCATTGACTAATTTCTTAGAAAAAAAACAAAAATAAACTTTAAATAGAACTACCAAAATCTAGGTTAAATAAATATGGAGATCGGTTAAGAATCTTAATCTAAAGTAGAAGACCGAAAAAATTTCAACTTTATAATTTATGCAAACGATGCTCAAAAGTTTTCATTAAAATTTTAATTGTTGAACATTAAAATGAGTAGGTTAGTGTATTAGTTGTGTAGTTGAACAATGATTCATTAAGGTTCTTACAACAGGAGGTAAGGAGCTCGATTTGCAGAAGATGCAATTAAAGAAGGTAAATTTTTATAAGATTTTCAGTGTGGTGCAAGTACAGCCACAGAAGAATATTAATTACGGGTCTATACCATCTTCTCTATTAAAACAGAAGCATGTTTTGTGTCTAAATAAGTTATTTTTAGTTGTCTACTATTCTAGTCTTGGATATCTACTATTTCTGTTGTCAAACAAAAACTTAATTTCATTTATCTATTTTATTTATTTCTGAAAATTAAAAAATAATTTATTTGAAATTAATTTCGAAAAAAAATAAATTTTAATTCAATTAGTATAGATTTTCTTAGATATTGTTAGGATTACTTTCTTTACCTTCTTCTTCTTCTTTACCTTCTTCTTCTTCTTCTTCTTTACCTTCTTCTTCTTCTTCTTCTTCTTTACCTTCTTCTTCTTCTTCTTCTTCTTCACCTTCTTCTTCTTCTTCTTCTTCTTCATCTTCTTCTTCTTCTTCTTCTTCTCACCTCTCTCTCTTCTTCTTCCTCTTCTTCATCTTCTTCTTCTTCTTCTTCTTTACCTTCTTCTTCTTCTTCTTCTTCTTTACCTTCTTCTTCTTCTTCTTCTTCTTCTTCTTCTTCTTCTTCTTCTTCTTCTTCTTCTTCTTCTTCTTCTTTACCTTCTTCTTCTTCTTCTTCTTCTTCTTCTTTACCTTCTTCTTCTTCTTCTTCTTCTTTACCTTCTTCTTCTTCTTCTTCTTCTTCTTCTTCTTCTTCTTCTTCTTCTTCTTCTTCTTCTTCTTCTTCTTCTTCTTCTTCTTCTTCTTCTTCAACAATTTAAATAATTATAATCACACAATAATAACATATAAACATATAATAACATGAACATAAACTAAAATCCGCGCGAAGCGTCCTCTCCACCCTAGTATTCTTAAACTAGTTATAGAAGATCTACGAATAGATTTTTGTACAAAAAACGTTAACATTGATATAAAACAAAAAACGTTAGTAACTTTCGACGATCGGTTGATAGACCTTTTCCTTTATTAGAAGACTGTCTATTACGAGCGAAAGAAAGTATCAAACATTTTCTTTCTTTTTTGAGGACTAAGAGCTTCAATGTATCACCATATTGGGAGGATTACTAGACAATCTTGGAAAGAGGTAGGTGTTGGTATTACAGAGTGATAAAGCTGAAAATTAGCAATAAGACCACTACTTTTTTTAGTATTTGGGATTTTTTTAATAAATTATTCATTCTTTATGTCACAGGAAATAAAGGTTTAAATTAAAGGAAATTCAGAAAATTATAAATATGAGATGAATGAGCTACCAGGATATTTTCATTTTTCTTAATTTTTATTTTTTTATATTCCAATAGCATTTTCTCGCAACAACATAATTCTCTGGGCTTTCAAATTAACCTTAAAGCATAGTGATACTGAAAAGCATACCACTTAGTTATATAGTGATTTTGTTAGCCGAAGATCTGATTTTTTCAGTGCATAATATTGTGACATATAAAAGTTTAAATGGGACCTAGGAATTGAGAGATTAAAGGTGCACATATTATATATCTCATAGATCACAAAACATGCTAAAATAAATACTCACTCAAAAAATATATTACCTTGATATATACTCATATATGCTTTCCTAGATTACATATATCAAGCTCGAAAACCATATATTATACACCAAAAACGTATTATACAAATACAGATGTAGTGGTTAA